TGTTGTTTTTTTTGTTTTTTTTTTTTTTTTTTTTTTTTTTATGGCTGAATAGTTTTCCATGGAGTAAATGTGCCACAATTTTTCAACCCATTCATCTGTTTGTGGACATCTGGATTGGGTCCATGTCTTAGCAATTGTGAATAATGGTGCAGTGAATATAGTTGTGCAAGCGCTTTTGCGAGTAAGCGCACTTCTGTCCTTGGGTAGATACCCAGGAGTGGAATTGCTGGATCATATGGTAGTTCTATTTGAAAATCTTTGAGGAACCTCCATATCATTCTCCACAGTGGCTGTACCAGTTTACATTCCCACCAACAGTGTAGGAGTGTTCCCCTTTCACCACATCCCCTCCAGCACTTATCATTATTATTATTTTTTTTAATCTCCAATCTGACTGGGGTTAGGTGATATCTCATTGTAGTTTTGATCTGCATCTCCCTTACAATGAGGGATGCTGAGCATTTTTTCCATATACTTTTTGTTCTATTTTTTTCCTTAGAGAGTTGTTTCTTTAGCTGATTTTCCCATCTTGTAATTGGGTTGATCATTTTCTTCCAGGTAAGCCGCTTGAGTTTCCTGTGTATTCTGGTTATCAGTCCCTTATCTGAAGCACAGTTAACAAAAATTCTCTCCCATTTTTAGGGTTGTTGATTCACACTAAGGTATCTTTTGCTGTACAGAAACTTCTTAATCTGATGTAAACCCACCTGTCTATTTTGAGGATTATTGCCTGTGCTTTGGGAGTCTTGCTTAAGAAGTCTTTGCCTACCCCAATGTCTCCCAGAGTTTCCCCAGTGTTTTCCTTTTCAATTTCTTTTTTAAAGTTTTCATCGTTTTCCTTGTAGAGTTCTTTGACTTCCTTGGTTAGTTTTTGTTTGTTTGTTTGAGAGGTTTTTTGCTATAGGGTATGTGTGCTTGCCAGAAAGACGGAGAGAGACAGAGAGACAGAAAGCGAGAAATCACTCCCCAGGGGGAATGGCCACACTGCAGTCCCTTCTCC